TATATATATATGCTTATAGAAAAATGGAAACTTTTTTATATTTTTTGATAAGGAATCGATGAGTACTAATTTAAAACTTTCACAAGTTAATGATATTATTTTTTTAAAGGTTGCTATTAGACTTGGATCAAGGAGAATTAATAAAATTCCGTTTATCTCATCAAAGAGCCCGAAATCGACAAAATATCGAGAGGCAACTTTTAATCGACATTAAATAGCTTACACTATTTCGCTAACAAGAGAAAAAAAGTCAGGGACGTACATGCTTTTTTTAGAAAAATATTCCATTAATAACCCATATGCCCATCCCCGGTGAATAGGTCGACATTTTTTTAGCTTTAGAATAAAATATGTCGTATTTATAGTTTATATTAACTTTTACCCTCAAAATTTCATTCGAAACGCTAAAAGTACCCTGTAGCTTCGAAAAAAAAGCAGAATCGGACCTATGTTGATATGAAAAATAAATCTTACGGTTATGTGAGGAAGCTCCCCACGAGAGATGGCACATGTTTTTTGAAACACCCTGTAGACAGCTATAATATGTCCACTTGATTAGTCAAAATTAATGTTTTTGCTTCATCCACAACAAAGTTACAAGGGAGGGGTCAAAAGTGCCATTAGTTGCTTCGAAGAAAGAATGGTACGGCTGTGCTCGACTTGGCGGGGGCACTCCCGTGCCTCCATATGACACACATCAAAAGGGCATGTGATATATACACTAACAAGGCATGTCATTAAAAGAAGAAGTTAGTTTTATGGTTGCTTAAATATTTGACGTATATACGAAAATGTTTAGATAAAACCATTTGATTTAATTAACCAAATTTAATATTTTATTTTAACGCCGCTACTGGTAGTGTGTGACTCCGGTCAATTCAGGAGTTGGGGTGTGAATTATGCCTAAAGTTTTGATGTGAAAACATTCAAAAGTTTAGGAATTTTGGATAATTTGCACCTAAACTTTATTTCCATTTTATGTCCTCCCTTAAATACGCTATAAAAACGTACTTGTAATTTTTATTAACCATTTTTATTATATTATCTACATAACAACTAAAAAGTTATTTATATTTACTTAGAAAAAAAGGTATTAAATTAAAATTATACAATTATGATTAAAATAATTGTTCTAATTTTTCTTTTCATATACACTAATGTACAGGGTATAAAAAATTTGGTGCAAACCACAAAGGGAGCGTAAACAGGACGGTTTCGGAAATTTCAGAAAGAATCAGACAAGATTCGTGAAATTTGTATGTATAAATTGTATATAGTAGTGGTCCCAAGATACTTCCTTGAGGAACACCAGTCTCCACAATTAAACAGTCGGACAGTTTATTCTGGTAATACACCTGTTGAGTACGATTTGACAGAAAAGAAGCTCATATTTACTGCCACATCCCTAAACCAAATATAATGAAGTACCGCTAACAAAATTGTATGATTAATTAAATAAAATGCCTTACTAAAATATGGTAACATTGGTAGTAGATTAGATTTACAAGAAGGAAAACCAACAAAAGATCGAATGGTTCTCAAAATTTTAGCGAAAAATAATTTTTTTTTAATTAAATGACAAAAAGAGTAGGTAAGTCGAATAGGGTTTCCACTGACGTTTGGTACACTCTTTTTATATCCTGTATATTACTTTCGCCTTATTACCAGCATAACTATCTTAAACAAGCCTAAGAGAATCGTCAGCACTACCAATCCCATAATCGTCTCCAATTTATCGCGTTTCTGAGCTTAAAAGCACCAGCCTACTTGCAGACATGCAAATCGGTGTTATCTTAATGTTCGCAGTCGCATTTCGTCGTATTAAGCCCTATGCCAGCCCTGGAGTTGGTACGTCTACGTTTGGCTGCACTGCTCGATAGTATCGTTGAGGAAATCTACGTTGATTGCATTAAAACGCCTGGTGGGTTTCATTAGGGATGGGTATTTTTCAATAAAGATATCGATATATGCCGTTTGTGTTATAAATATAAACAATGAAATAAAGTATCTTCTCAAAGACGCTGAAGTAGAAGTTTTTTTAGGGTTCCGTATCCAAAGGGTAAAAACGGGAACCCTATTACTAAGACTTCGCTGTCCGTTCGTCCGTCGTCCGTCTGTCACAAAGGTCTATCTTATGAACCGTTATAGCTAGACAGATGAATTTTTAACAGATAATGTATCTATGTTGCCGCTATAAGAACAAATACTAAAAACAGAATTAAATAAATGTTTATAAATAAAAAATTCACAGATTTTGCAACATGCGCAACCATCATAGGCGTATTGAAAATACCAGACACAAAAGTCGGCGGTGGTCGGCCATCATCTGTTTTTTACATTTTATATTAACCTGTGACGTCATTTGGAAGAGCTCAATAGAAATATGAAAGAACTAAACCTTGTTTGGAAAGCAATTTGACATTCGTGACGTCAGCATTCTGGCAGTCTAACGTATCGCTTGTAATTACCGTTACCATAAATGCAGGTCTAGAAACGTACACAAGATGTAGGTGCCGATTTTCATTGTACGAAACGTAAATAAGATGTACTGAATAAAGACAGAAGGCAAGTATTTTCCCAAGCATGGATCTGGCGATAGTTAGTGATATAATTAAAATATTTCGTATTTTGGCTCTCTCCGACTTAGTAGATTAGCGATTCACTCCTATACATGTAAACGCCGACCTAAGGTTTTGTTTGCCAGTAGGGTATATTCGAGATACGTATAGTGAACAAGTGAACCGTTCACAACGTTAAATAATTTTGATATTTGATTTTTATCGTGATGGCTTTTTATAAAAGTGAACAATTTATTAAAAAAAAATATTAATGATGGAGATGGACGTGTGCGGATTCATGAATGGTCACGATCACGGTCACTACACTATAGAAATGTGAGGTATGTATATACATAGAATTAATGGCATTAATTTGCAATAGCACCTGGAACCCACAGTTTCATTATGGAGCCAGATTAAACCAATCAGAATGAGTATTATGTTACCGTAAAAGCCCGAATATTGGTTAAACGTAGGGTTACCCACGTAGGAGCCCGAAATATGCAAAAAATGTCAGTTTAGGTTAAGTATAGATTAGGCCTATATTTTTTTATTAATGCAAAACCAACTAAAACCTAATTCTAATCTAACCTAAACTCACTCCCCCTTTTGCATATTTTGGGCTATTACCTAGGTATTTCTAGGTTTAACCAATATTCGAACTTACGGTTAAATTCGCCGTACAAAAAATAAGTAATAGTTACTGTAGATAAAAATAAATTAAAATATAGTTCCACGATAATTTAGTTTGCAACTTCTTTTCATCATACCTAATAAAAAACCGTCACAACCACAAATATACATAGGTGCCCATAATATGAGTAGCGGTATTGACGGTTTTTTGTTATGATGAAAATGTTGTGTGATATGAAAAAGCAATAAAATATATTATCGATTGCAGGAACTATACCTAGTTTACCTTCAGTATGTCCAATTAATATAGAACATTATACCTATGCATGATATCTATGCATGAAAATTTGCTACCATTATATTTTGATAGTTGAGTTTTTGAAATTATTATTTTATAATTATTATTTCTTAAACAAAACAGACCCACAATAATTCAAATCTTTATGATCCAAGACTTCCAAGAATTATAAAGTAATCTCACGTCAATTTTTCACAGTTTTTTTTAATTATTGCATGCTTTAAATGTTTGCAAAGTTAACAAAAATATTTCTTTGAATACCTTGCAATTGATATATTTGCTATTTAATATTATCAGTTCCCCCATTAAGCCTATTTAATATTATCAGCTCTGCATCATATCCGAAATTCAGATTGTGTGTGACACAACGAAGAGTCAACGTGCAACGTGAACGACAAGAAAAATGGCAAGTAAAAAAACTTGTAAAGTCTTAATTACTAATTACACAGTCCTTCCCTTGAGTTCTCCTGCCTAAAATCTATATTGCCTTTCCTAAGATTTTAAATATAAATGATTGAAACTCAAGTTTACCACAATTTAAACTTAAGATAATTATTTAATTATTAAATCCATAATTATACTAAAATATAACACTTACGAAGTTTCTAAATATTAACTATTTCTACTTAATCCAGTAGCGTAGCGTAGGCCCCGCAGCACCCGCAATGGGGCCTCGTGATTTTGTTTACTAAATACATATATATGTGAACAGCGTCCCCTACAATTTCCAAAAATATTGTGTTGATTTATTTTTTAATGTTTTATTTTTTATGTTCTTTTATTATTATTTTTTCTAGTTCTAGTTATTATTTTTTCTAGTCTATAAGTTTTTTTTTGTTTTTATATTTTAAATGACTTGATATACGTACATAAAGCTATATTATGTTTTTAGTGTGTTTTTTTTATTTTAATATAAGGGCACCAAAAAAATTTTGCGGGGGGGCCTCACATTTGAAGTTACGCTACTGACTTAATCATTTAATAATTCTGATAAAAACACTCTTGATTATTTATTTTGAAAATCATACGGGCTATAATCATTAATATGACTATATTAACAATACTTAAATCAAAATTTATTTGAAGGAATGCCATAACCATCATTACAATAAATTGTAAAACAATAAGTATGTAATAATAACTCGGAATAATTATTAAAAACTGCTCATCGCGTTATAGATGTCGGCGTCTTGTCTCTATTATTGTATTACCCGTTTAGCTATAGTTTGATTTCAGATAATGCAGATTTTAATGTGCCATTTATGTTTTTTATTGGAATTATTATTTTTAGCATATTTTGTATACTCTATGAAGTGATTTTAAGAAGTGCTCCTGTTCATTTTTCATTTTTCAATTATTAAAGTGC